AAACACAATCCGGCTTTGATACCAATTGTAGGAGCAATAACATCATGCGGAAACGTTAAGACCATTGTGGTATGGATGTAAAGGATCATCTTGATTTTATCATTTACCTCTTTGATGGCGCAGATCTCTGAGATGCTCCACACTTCTTGTTCCTTTGCGTGACAGTCCGAACTCACGAACTGCTACGTCACAGCACGAACAGGTGTTCTGGCAAACCTTTCAAACTATCTCTCGAGGAGGAAGGGGAAGTGTGTGGGCGCTAATCAGATTTGAGCTTGCGTCTTTCTCACAGATGACCTAGGAGCTGATGACTTAAGTGGTAGTATTTATATGGGTTCCAAAAAACCCTAGCTCTAAGCTCATTGGGTTTATAGGTTTCTTGGGCTCTTCTCATACTAATAGCCCAATCAGGCTTTAGTAAAAGAGCCCAAATCCAACACCTAGCTTTCCCAAAAAAATTAAAGAATGACCAAATTTAATGTTTGTAACCAGTGACGGACCCAGAAAAAAAATTATATGTGAACACTTAAGGTGGGGGTTCGGGGGCAGAGCCCCTGAAGATTTTTTTTAAAGAAAATTTTAAATGTATTAATTTTAGGGGTTAATTGATCAAAAATCAACCTCTATCGATGTCTATTTGATCCAAAGTTGATCACTTTTGCTTAACAAAAAAATGTGAAAAATCCCATACAATTCTCCTTCACTTGATGAAGATTGAATTTCAGGAATCATTGATGTCCATTAAGGTTTGGAGCTAATAAGGTTTATGTTTAAAAAAAAGAAGAAGAGACAAAGCAATGGGGTAGGGTTTAAGTTTTAAGCTTTTAATTATATGGGTTGGTTGGGTTGTGCTTGGGCCTATTTTTACTTTTTTCTTTTCAATCTTTCTATTATATATATATATATTTTTTTTACTTGACTTAAATCACCCACCCATTTAAAAAAAAAACATTCTCAAATTTTTGTGTCTGCATGTGCAGACACAGACAACAACACCGGTCCGCCTCTCTCTGTAACTCTAGTTATTCCTAAAAATCTAAAACTGAATCAGATTCTCTGACAACACAGTTGTAGTAATTACTCGAAGTTTGGTTTAATATCCTTTAAAACTAGAGTTAGGTCTTTGTCTTCATAACAATTGTGGATCATCTTCTTAGCTTTTCATCAAGTCAAAGAACATCTGAATTATTGTGTTTAGCTGAAGTTGTAGCTAGATAATCGAAACTACACCAAATTTCACAATAACATCCTTACATTAACTTTGAGCTCAGTTTCAGGTCCTTTAACTCCACAATTATGTTTCCATCACAATTATGTAGATCAAGATATAGGCTCAGTTGTAGTTGTGAATTGTTTGGTGGCACAATAGCTATTTATATAGAGGATGAAACTTGGACCTTGCATGGGTAAAGGTGTGATGGTTGAGTCTCGTTTTTGCTTAGAAACTTAATGATGGATCTCCACATGCAGCATGTGTGGGTGTTATGCAATGTAGTTTATGATTGAATCAATATAAAGGTGATTCATGAAATCAACTAGTGAAGAAGCACTATCTTGTGTGCGGTGTAATTGAGGTCTATTATCAAGATCTGTTAGGTGTTGGTAATCATGTGCAGGGTGGGCATGGTTCCACCGGAATCGGTTATTTTATAGAAGGTTTAAACCGGATCGGTTTAAGGAACCAAATTATTTTATTTTGTCCTAATTGATTTTATTTTTCCTGAATCGATTCAGAATTGGTTTATGATTCAAAACTGATTTATGATTTATGACTAATTCTGAACTAGTTCAGAACCGATTCGGGTATATAAACTAATTTCGGACATATTTTGAATCGATTCTAAATCACTTTCGAAGTGATTTTTTAAATCAATTTTTTTTTTTTTTTGTTTCCAGGAATACAAATGACTCACTATTCACTTGGTTTATGCAGCATAATCATGATGTAAGCTGAGAGCTCTCACAGTCCAGGCACAACGACGCAATTATCAGGAGCACGCTCTATCACTGAGCTAATAGCTCGTCGTGCGTAATAGAATGGTGCATGCATATTAGCACCATCAGCTCAAAACAAAACAGAATTACACATCACATTACACATCAGAACATTCTAGAAACAGTTACAACAGAAAGAAAAATATAAAATATAAAATATATGCTAATACTATCTGTATATAATAAAAACCAGTATCTATTTATGTCTACATGTATTAGAGGGTATTATACCTTTTTTCGAGGAGGATTGCCATTGTCATAGTCGTTTAAAAAGTTGGTTTGAAAACACACACGCAACGTAGAAATTGGAGATTAAGGATTAATTGTACCGCGTGCAGTTAGTTTTCCCACTGCAGATCCAGTTCGTCTCATGAAAGACATTGCTGCTACATGTAAACTTTATTTTAATTGTAGTTCGTGTGGATTTCATATACTATAAATATAATGGCTTAGGTAAGCATTTCATCTAAAGCTACAAAATTGTAAAGCAGTAATTTCAATTCTCGTTCTGATTTCACTATATGGAATAAATAATGATTTTAATTGGATCCATGTTAAGAGTAAAAAAATTTTGTACTATCAATCAATAATATATATTGTCTCGTCATTAAAATATTATGACTTTTGTAATAATTGTGTTATATTACTTAAGGACATAATGATACACAATTTAGTATACATTTTTTATTGCAACCCTGCATATTAAATTCGTAAATATTTTATGTTGCGTAACAAACAAAAAGAACGTGACTTTTTAAGTATTATCTAGCTTAATTAATAACAGGTTTTATTAATCTCATGTTAAAGGAGATAGTTATCTCATGTCATAGGGACAAATCAGTGGGCTCTATCACCTGAAAAAAAAGAAAAAAAAAGATGACACAATTATCGAAAAGTGTGTAGAAGAAAAAACTTATGTCATGTGACATAAGAATAATTTTTTCTATTAATAAAATCCTTTGCAAATTTCAAGGGGTTGTTGCGGATTTAGTTAGAAGATTGTGTCAGGTTGGTATAGTTTTTCCCATTAATAAAACCTGTGTCAGGTGGGTATAGTTTTTCCCATTAATAAAACCCTTTGCAAATTTCAAGGGGTTGTTGCGGATTTAGTTAGAAGACTATGTCAGGTGGGTATAGGAAAAATTTTATGGCTAAGGACTACCAACAATAGGTTAAGTGGATCAAATACATCAAGTGAGTTGGACATCATATCTCAATCCAAAATCTTAAGGCATTAGTTTCATGGGCCCTTCCATTTATATATTCTTCACTTAGCCTATTACCAACCAATGTGAGACTCATCACATTTGAATATATCAACAATCTCTCCGCTTAAGTGTGAAACACAACATTGATATGCTCTCCCTCAACCGAGTACCCCATGGCCCAAGTACTCAACCCGCCTCCTAGCCAATCACCAGTCTAGCTCGATCCAAATCCGGCTCTGATACCTCTATTAGGTGGGTCCAGAGAAAGCCCGTGGCGGGGGACCACAACCAACGGACTAAGTGGATCAAATATATTAAGTGAGTTCGACACCACATCTTAACCCAAAACCTTAAAGCATTGAGTTCATAGGTCCTTCCACTTCTATACTCTGGAACAATGACCATTTTGCCACTGTTGGCCAAAAAAATTATCAGACTGTCACGCCAACAGTAAATTTTGCCAAAATGCTATGTGGCATATTTCGCTACATTGTGTAGCGAAATATGTGTGCAAATAATTCGCTACACAGTGTAGCGAAATATGCTACGTTAGAACCAAAAATGCCACGTGTAACAATTGTAGAAATTCGCTGTCCTATGTAGCAAATTTCTTCAATTTTGACACATGACATTTTTGGTTCTGAGCAGTCTGACATGACATATTTCGCTACACTGTGTAGCGAATTATTTGCACACATATTTCGCTACACAATATAGCGAAATATGCCACGTGGTATTTTGGCAAAATTTATTGTTGGCGTGGCAGTCTGGTAATTTTTTTGGCCATGACAGTTTAGTCACTGTTCCTCTATACTCTTTTCCTTGACCCGCCTGAAAGAATGTGCCCAAAAGACAGGATTTGAAGTTCGATTTTGGGAAAATTCTTTGCTGCTAGAAGTGAAACCTTTCGCTATTTAGGCCTCAACGAGCAAGTAGAGTCTCATCATATATACATCCTGGATTTATAAAAAATAATTAAATAAAGAACCCTTTGAATTTTTCGGTCATCGGTCATATGTTTTTATAGATACAATTGAGAGACTATTCCCACAAGTTAAAAATAATAATTAAGTAAAATCTTCTTCAAAATAACAACTGTGATATTTTACTTTTGATTACAGTACTTGTGATCCATGTGAATAAAAATATCTGACCCTGAAATACAAAGGCGAACCAAATTTTTTAATGTTCAAAAGAAAAACGTCCGAGAAATTGACAACTCTAGTCTACCCCAGGATCCCACTTTCCGATTGATCTTGCAGGGGGTACGAACTTAATAGTTAATATGTGGTCACCATTACAGGTGAGGTTGGCTCTCTTATTTAATCGATATTCTCACGTGACAAATATAACATCATGTTTAAATACAAATTAACATTACCAAACATGTGAATTAAATAGTAAGGTGTTATTCCAGTTTAATCAGTGATTCTGAATTTAAGTTTTTTAAAAGAAAAAAATGTGTGTCATTTTAAATGATGTAAAGTTGTGTCATTTTAAGAGAGAGAAAGAGATAGATAAAGGAATAGAGAGAGTTTACAAAAAAAGTAAAAGTGTGGATCCCACCTCTTGGTGAGAGTAAAATGATATAAGTTATGTCATTTAAAAGCATAAATACTTTTTTCTTCTTAAAAAGCAATTGTGTTAAAATTTAATAAAAAAAAGTTTTACTGTATATGTGATTCTAACCTACTGGAATAAGACTAGTTATTACTAGTGTCATGAGACCATTCATTTCTTATTTATAGAGACAACGTAACTCTTCCTGAGCATACCTTTCTAATTGAGTCAGTGACATACTACTTTTAAGGTAGTTTGCCGAATTGAAGTGAGCATTAATTCATCAACTTCACATTTTCCCTTGGCCACGTCTTCAAGTCCAACTCCAAAACAGTAACAAGCTCAGAGGAAAGAAATGGAATTGGAGAAAGTACTTCACATGAACAAAGGAGCAGGCGAGACTAGCTATGCCATGAACTCTGGCGTTCAGGTTGGCTTTTATTTACACAAAATATTAAAAGTTTCTATTTCTAAAGACATAGTATGAAAATACTATATAATATTTTAAGAACACAAAATTAATTAAGGCTTCGTCTCTTGTCATGTGCTTATTGAGTTTTGTGTAAATTTTGTAGAACAAGATTATCTCTGTGGGGAAGGAAGCAACAACTAAAGCTATTGTGAAAACTCTATGCTCAAGTTGGCCAGTGAGCATGGGCATTGCGGACTTGGGTTGCTCCTCTGGACCCAATGTCTTAACGGTCGTTTCTGAGATACTTGATGCTGTGTACGCCACCTCGCGCATGTTAGATCGCCCTGCGCCGGAATTGATAGTGTATTTGAACGACCTTTTCATGAATGACTTCAACAACATCTTTCGTTCATTGCCATCTTTCTACAGAAAACAAAGGCAAGAAAAGGGAACTGGGTTTGGTTCTTGTTTCATTTCCGCTGTTCCTGGCTCTTTCTACGGTAGGTTGTTCCCAAGCAAGAGCCTCCACTTTGTGCACTCTTCTTCAAGCCTCCATTGGCTTTCTCAGGTATGCATATATGTTATATCAAGAACCAAAGTATCTGGTAGAAGTTCTAATACGATAACATGAATCTAATTCTCCCAATAGTCTAAATTCTTGTATAAAGTAGGTTCTGATAGAGTTTTTTGGACACCTGTTTTTATAAAATTAAAAAAATTATCTTACAAAATCACACGAATATATAATTTAGAATAGGTTATATTTACAAACTTTTTTTGTTTACAAACTCTTACAAACTACACTATCTTCTTCCGAGAGAACACTTGTGAGAAGATAGTATAATTTATAAAAAAATTTATAAAAAATTTATAAACGGATCCATCCCCGTACAATTTTATATTATATTTCAAAGTATAATACAACTTTCTTAGGCTTATATTCAATCTCTAACACATGCACATGTCCTTTTCTGTTGTAATTGCAAACTGGTTACCCGGAATGCATACACGAGCAAAGGCAACGGACTAAAAAGTTGAAACAGATATTAAAATTTAGGAAAGAGTTTGTTATTGACGGGGAACTCAACCTCTTACAAAATGACACGCTAAATCATATTACCTTTTTATTTTATTTTATTTGTGTTTCTCTCACTTTTTCTCATAAATTAATGGCTCATATTGCTAGACTCTCAGGGATGTACATGGTTTCCGTTTGGAAAATTATGTGCAATAGACAGTGACTCGCGGAAATTGTACGATATTAACATTAGTAGTAGAGGGACCAATAAACATGGTCCTGCATTGGCCACGTACGTTTTTGGCTAATCTTTCTTTGTTACGTTTTTCCATTTGTACGTACGTGTCCATCTTTCAAGCATCGAAACGTAGCATGTTGCAGTAAAAATAGTAAAGCTTTCGTGATTAAAAATAGTAAAAAACGTTGCATCTTTCAAGCATCTGTGCTATGATTAAGAGGATGGTCCCCAAACCACAACAATGAGATAAACTTATAAAACTTTTAAAGAAATATATCTGCACTGCAAAAATTGAGTCCCTTGCTTTTTGCTTACAGCCTATTTGATAAATTTTTTTTAGGTTAAAAGTTATTTTTAAGTTGAAGTTAAAAAATAATTAAATATTATTTAGTGATTGTATAAAATTACTATAATGGTTTTAGAGGACAGAAAATAAAAATAATTTATTATTAGAATAAATTATTAGGATTAATGATAAAAGTTATTAATACAAATTTAGAATAATGGTAAAATTATAAAATAAATGAGGAAAATTTGATATATACCTTAAAAAAACAGCTTTTAGTTTTTAATTTTTTCTTTATTATAATTTTTTTTTATAATAATAACTTTTATAAAAATATATTTGGCCTAACTTTTACTTATAAAAAAAAATCCCCTCAAATACGCACTTACTTTTATTGATGTAAAACTGGTTAACTAAAGACAAACTAGACCTAAAAAAGGGACATGGAGCTTTTTATTTTTGTATTTTGTGATAGGCTGAAGAGACTTTTTTTTATACGGATCCTAAGGATTTGTTTGGGAGACATTTTTATAGGGAAGAAAAGGAAGGAGAATATATTATTTAGAGAAATGTTATACTTACAATCTATTTTTGTTTACAACTTTTTACAATTAATCTTAACTGTTGATTTTCGTCAATCAACTGTTATTATTTTCGTAAATTAAATTTATTAATTAATTATTAATTTACAATAAATGATAATCGTTGATTGACAGAAATCAACGGTTAAAATTGTCGTTGTAAACAAAAATAAGTTGTAAGTATAACCTTCCTCTGTTATTTATGTCTTTTAGATTAACTAATAGGAGAAGGGAAATGAGAATTTCCGTAAAATCTTTCAAAATTCTTATTACCCGTAAAATTAAAGTTTCCTAATTTAAAATTTTTAAAGAGAATATAATAAAAATTACTTATCTGCCCTTAACATTTATTATAAAATAAAATAATTATATTATATTATTTTTGTAAATATAATATTAATTAGTTTAGTTTTTAATCATATTACCTTTTTTTTTTTTTTTTTTGATAACAATCATATTACCTTTTTTATAAATATAAAATTATAAAAATATCTCGTTAAGTCTTTATTTTTTTTTATCATATTTTTAACTCTAACTCGGGAATAAAATACCCTTAATTTTCTCTTCCTTCCTTTTTTCCCCTTCCTATTAGATCACTTTCCTTCTCTTTTCCTCCAAAGTAACTCCCCAACAAAAGAAACTTTATACACAAAGAGAATTACATGAGCAAAACACAAAAGTATCTTTCCTTTCCTTTCCTTCACCTCCAGATCCACTAACAAAGCCTAAGGAGACTATATATACACAGAGATTTACGTGAGCAAAACAGAAAAGATAACTGTTCAAAAAGTTGGATATCTGTTACATATGCCAAACTAATTATTAGTAGCGTGCGATACCCGCAGGTTCCTACTGGATTGGAGGATGATAAATGGGGAAGAGTATTGAACAAGGGAAAGATATACATATCAAAGAGCAGTCCACAGTGCGTGGTAGATGCTTATTCGCGTCAATTCCAGAATGACTTTTCACTGTTCCTGGATTCACGCTCGCAAGAAATGGTAGCCGGAGGAAGAATGATGTTGTCTCTTATGGGTAGGGAATCCATGGACCCAACAGCCCCCAATAGTTGCTATCAGTGGGAACTTTTAGCTAATGCCCTCATGAGTATGGTTTCGGAGGTACGTAGCACATCAGTACCTCAAACTTCAAATTAACACATCTGCAGTTTGTATAAGTACTAGCTAGAAAGCACAATGATCATAATAGAATAGTCACAAAATCATTGACATATATATATATATATATATATATATATATATATATATATATATATATTTCTACAATCACTTTAAATAAAGTTGTGTACCTACCTTTTAAACTAAGTCTGACCAGAAAAACATAAAAAATATATTTTCTCTCTCCGCCACGTCAGCCGGCAATGTCAGAAGAGAGAAAAAAAAGAACAACTTTATTATTATAACTATATCTTGGTTGTCAAACTTAGTTAAAAAAGGTAACTATAGAAATACTTTTAATATATATATATATATATATATATATATATATATATATATGGAAAAACATTTTCTCATATTGTAGGAGAGTTGTTTTCTCCTACTAGTGACTCTTCGATTTTCGTGCAATATTTTCTTTTGTTTTTTTATTTTTTTAATAGATGTGGTCACACAAATGATGAGTCTACAACATGAAAAAAATTTCTCCTACCGCATGAAAAAATCGAAACCCTATATATATATATATAGGGAAAAACACTTCTCATGTTGCATGAGAAGTGTTTTCTCATGTTGTGACCCTTCGATATGTGTACAAAGTTTTTTTTTTCTTTTTTTAATAAGTATGGGCCCACAACTAGTTCAGTCACAGCATGAGAAAATAATTCTCATGCAACATGAGAAAATTAAAGCCAATATATATATATATATAGGTAAAATTATTTCTGCAGCCGCTTTACGTACAACAACGGCAGGTGTATGGTTATAATTTCCTACATTTAATGCTTTCATCCTTTGTATGGTTATGATTTCTCGCATTTAATGCTTTCAAGTATATATATAGCAAGTATTTGATTGTTGCATACAGCCGCTTTACGTACAACAACGACAGATATATGGTTATAATTTCTCACATTTAATGCTTTCATCCTTTGTATGGTTATAATTTCTCACATTTAATGCTTTTAAGTATATATATGATAAGTATTTGATTGCTGCACGTACAGCATGCAGAAATGTAAACTCTATATATACATATATATATATATATATATATATATATATATATATATATATATAGGGTTAGCTTTTTCTACAGTTACTGCAAATAAGTTATTTGTAGTAAGCCCAATACGACGTCGTTTTGGAGCGGAAACATGATATTTTTGTAATTTTAATTTATTTCAGGTTATTTTAGTCTTTATAATTATAATTTTTTAATTTTTTGATCTCTAAACGACGTCGTTTTGAAAGTAAATACAAATAGTTTATCTGCATTAACTGCAGGAATATTTTTCTGATATATATATATATATATATATATATATATATATATATATATATATATATATATATGGACGTACGGGGTCTTTCTTGAAAGCCACTATTGTTTTAGTGGCTGCTCTATGGACGGCAATTGGGGAAAGTTGAAAGACGCGGGGTAGCATGCAACACGGTGAATGCGGAGAAATTCACATTTCTCAATATTTGATCTATCTCCCAAAATCCCAAAAAATTCAAAGAGGAAATATATTCAAACAACTAATGTAACCCAAAAGTTTAAAGTGTTGAGTGAAGCTTCATCAATAGTTTTTATATATTTCTCTAACAATATTATCTCTAGCATCCCACTTAGAGAGAAAAACACAAAAGTTGTTATTTAATTATTCACTATTACGTAACAGGAGAAACTCTCATCCATTCACACTTACATGACTAATTGGTATGGCTAATAGTGTCTTAAAATTCTGGTTTCTCACAAGTCTGTTTTTTTTTTGTTTTTTGTTTAGTACAAAGTCACAAGTCTATTAACCTCATGATGTTCTGTTATCTAACAGTTTAGACGGACTAATAAATAAAGATATACACCACATTGCTAGATGAACACGTTCTAACACTGGATTTGGGTCTATGTAAAAATCAAAGAACGAATTTATGAGAAAATTTCTGGTGGTATGAAGTTAAAAATTTTCGTATTTATTTATTTACTTTTGGCAGGGTCTAGTTGAAGAGGAAAAGGTGGATTCTTTTGACGCTCCTTACTATGCTCCTTGCTTAGAGGAATTGAAATTGGAGGTTCAAAAGGAAGGGTCATTTGCGGTGGATGGCCATGAAGGTTATGAAGTTGATTGGGATGGTGCAATGGAATTGCAGAGTGGTTCAGTAGGGATGCTATCACGTGGAGAGCGAGTGGCAAGGACCATAAGGGCTGTGGTTGAGTCCATGCTGGAATCTCATTTTGGGAATCATATAATGGATGAACTTTTTCGAAGGTACGCCAAACTTGTGGAGGATCACTTATCCAAGACTAGGACCAAATACATCAATTTGGTCATTTCTCTCGTCAAACGAGGCTGAAAATTCAAGCAACAAAACAACCTTCATTTACCTCAAAGATAGATACATAGTTGGACATTTGTTGACAATGGGACTGATTCCACTTGTACTATTAATTTCTAGGTCCCTTTTTCTAGATATGCTACGTACGTCTATAGATATATATGTCTATTCATGCATGTCATGCCAATATTTGACAACAACAACAGAAATGGCACGGTCCAGTCCTCCATTATTAGTTGGCTTTTTCCACTTTAATTTTTGATTTTAGACTATGACTGAATGAGTGGTGATGATTGAATTTCCCCCCACAAAGCAAGACAACTACTTGCTGTTTGTGTGTTTCAATAGATTTCGAAAATTTAATTTCGCTTAAACCTAATTTTTCTTAAATTTGATTTTGTCGAGAAGTATGTATATAAGTAGTTTTTATACTAAGAAACTTTTATTTAAAAGTAATTTTGATAAAAGTAATATTGTTTTCATTTGTTCATGAAAATTACTTCTATAATGTGTATTTGTTTATTAGTATGAATGTGTAAATATTTAGAATAATAATATTATATTAAATTTGTAATATTTCAAAATAATAATAATAATAAATAATATAAAATATCTTGGATAATTAGAATAAAATATCTTGGATATTTATAAAAGTAATGATTAGATTCCTTAGATTTTCATAATCGTAATGATTAAGATTCCTTAGATATTTATAAAGGTAATGATTAGATTCCTTATATTTTTATAAACGTAATGATTAAGATTTCTTAGAATATTTATAAAGGTAATTATTAGATTCCTTAGATTTTTGTAAAAATTAATAATTATTATAGATATTATTTGGAGAGGAATCGGAATAAGAGGAAGAGGAAGAGAAAGAGAAAGAAAGAAGAAAAAGAAAAGGGAAGGTAATATTTGGAGTAAACAACTCATTCTCTCCTTTACTTTTAAAGTTAATTTTTAGATATTTTAGAAAGCTATATTGATTATGTTTTTATCTATGTTATGTTGAAAGTTGGTATTTTAAAATTATTTCTTTAAAAGTTGTGAATATGTTGTTACTTTGCCAAAATTATTTTATGAATTCTTTCTACTCTTTTACTTTATTTTTGTAACAGTCCGTTGTACACCGGTATTGTTAACATTAATTATGATATTAAGTGCAGTTACAATCACAACAATTCATTTATAAAAATGCGAGTAAACTTTTTCCGTTTTATTACGCGAGCATTTAAACAATAATAAAGCGTAATAAATAAAAGCTGTGACCGTAACTGTAAACTCTTTGCGGAATAATTATTTAAACTATATATATATATATATATATATATATATATATATATATATATATATATATATATATATCATAGAATACTTCTCTCAAGTCACTAAGGGATTCCCATAAATCCACTTAGCTAAAATCTCACTTTTAGGTTTTCTACCTATCTGAACATGGTTCGGTCTTTTAATTTCTGCGGACAAACCGCATGTCGCGAACCTCTCATCTTTTAGTATGTTATTCTAGACTTAATTACCTTTCTAGGAAGCTATCACACGAGTCATAAAGTGTTAGTATATGGATGTCCTAGAGACAATCTTTTGATTAGATTAGGACATATGTGGACCTTTTTTTATTGTCGCAAATAAATAATAAGCACTCTTTATCCTGTTTCATATTTTGTCTCAATATTATTGTTAATATATTATATGAGTAATTGGATAAACCCCTTGAAATAAAATAGGTATCTCTTGAGTATCTGTGATGAGATCACGATCATGAGGATTTAAGGATACTAAATGTTTATTTCTAATTTTATGTCCCTAGTCTAGAGACACTGAGAATGGGGATCAGTAATCTCGGGTAAGACTAGCACGACTTATCTACTTGTATTTGGATACAAGGTAAAGACCTCATGAGCTACAGATATGGAGATGTCTTAGCTAAAGTCGTGGGTGGACCTATAAGGGTATAGCTCGCACTGAACAGACCCACAAAGAGACTCTATGAGGAAATCTTACAAAAGTATCATTACAGCAGTCTCTTAATATTTGGGTATGTCTTTCCTTAGACCATAAGTTGTCACCTAGACTGTGTTCTAGAAGGCATGTTTTGATTGTATACCTCGTCTGCCAGAAACATGGAGACTCATAGGTATACTTTTAGGCATGTCCTGAAAGAGCACAGGCCTAGGGTGATAAGCTGAAGGAATTCGTCAAATCTCTGTGAAGGATTAGGTTATCTGTAAACCGGAGAAATCGGAATGACATTTACAGGACTCGGAAATCTATACATAGTAAAAGAGATCATAAGATGATCTGTCTTTAGAGTCAGTAAATTGAAGATTCCTTATTTCGAATTAAAGCTTACCCTAAACCGCAAGGGTTGATACGTATCCTCACCCTAGGTTTAAAGGGAAGGTAACCGAGAGGAAAGGAAATACATACGGTAACCAAATATATGTAATAGGATGATCATGTTATTAACCTAACTAGCACTGGGGCAACAAAGCATTGCTAGTGCTCTGTGTTGTCATTAAATAGGTTGTGGGCTTGTTGGGCCCAAGCCCATTTATGTCAGTGGCTATGTTGGGCCTAATGGGTCACACACTAACACCTTATTGTCTTGATGAATATAACATTAAAGGTATTGGGCCTAATAAAGGTTGTTAGCCCAAGAAGAAGTTTGGAAGCCCACCTAAGAGGGAAAGGGCGCATAATACTGCTTGGATGGTCCAAGACATTATTAATTAATTTAATTAGTTAAATTAATTATCAAATATGTAAATCTTGAATTTGAATTTTGAATTTGAATTTTGAATTTAAATGTTTGAACGTTTGAATTTAAATGTTTGAATTCGAATTTGAATTGGCTATGAAAAGTTGTTTCATAACAAAAGGATAAGATAAGATCTTGTTGGAACAAATCCCAAGTATCAAGAGGAGATCTTTGGGCATCAACCAAGGCTGATTTGGGGCGCTCATTTTGGGGTCTTATGATGGTCGTATGATCAACCAAATAAGCTCCAATCAGATTTGGTTGTTGAGAGAATAAGTGAGTGAGTTGGTTCAAATTTGAATGCAACTACTCAATGTATTTGGACTCCTTTTGGGCTGAATAAGGGCGCACCATATGGCTGGCCATATGATGGTTATTAAGTCAGATTTTTGGGAGAAAAATCTGATTCAATTCAATCATTCTCTCATCTCCAAGTGTGCTTCCTTTTGTGAGGTTCTCTTTAGGGTTTTTTGAAAATTACCTAGCCCTTTCTCATAAAATCCATGCGCCACTTTGTGAGTTTTTCATGCTGAATAATTCGCTCATCTAAATACATTAACCTTGCCTCCTTCTTCTCCTATTGGGACGCCTAAGGTGCCTTCCTTGTGGTGTTCGTTTGGTGGCTTTTCAAGAAGGGTGCTTGCATCTTGACGTAGGGTGGTGTGGATCAACGTTAGAGGGTTTGAACCTTCAAACCTAACACTGATCATCTTGGAGTTTTGAATCACGAACAAGGTACATCATACTGTCTTAAAGCATGTATCTGGATTAGCATGTGTGAATCCGCTTTGAAATTTTTTTGTTTTCATCCTCACATGCCATCGTCCTTCAAGGCCATTTTCTTTCTTAAAGTTCTCGTTTGCTCCGGATATCGCCGTTTGAAGTTGACAAGCAAATCTGCCAACCAACCTCAAACAGGCTCCAAACAGTCCTTACTCTCTCAGTGATTTTGGAAAATACACTCAACCAATTTCTCTCAATTTTTTATACAGAAAACTAGACACCTCATGCTTCAATTTGACATATCATGCACCTAATTTGACTAAGAAACGAAACGGTAATAAAATTCCCAAAAACAACCAGAAACAGCCCCCTGTACAGGGGCGTGCTGTACATTCCGGTTTCCCTGGCCTCTACAGGGCTGCATACAACCTAGAAAATTCTCAATTTTTAACACAAGGTAGAGGATATCTCAAGCTTTAAAACGGCGTATGGCACGTCCCCATTGGACTTATGTGGAGGGAGATATGCTCTCCCAAAGTTCACCTAAATTCTGCCAATTTCTAAAAATTTCGCCAGAGTTTCCTTTGTTTTCCTAATAAATTCCACCTTTGAATGTGAGTTATCTAACCTCAATTTTGTACCTAATAATCATGGGTCGCACACAAGGACTAGCAATGCCTTGGTGCTCTTACAACCCTTCACAGTTTATATCCAATTTACTCAAAATACATAATCAATGCTTACTTTTCCATGTTAACTTATTTCAATCACAAGAGTCCAATTTCATGAATTCATTGAATCATAAATCATCATTCACACCTTAGAATAGGCCTATTGCCCTTTCATCATATTACATACTTCAATGTTACATCAATTCTCCATATTACAAATTTCAACTTCAAATAGACATATTACAATTTGCCTTCAAGTATACATAATAAAAGCTCCAAAATAAAAAATGATAATCCAAGACTAAACTTAGACAAAATACCTCATGAACAAAATGATAACAATAATCCTAATCATATGCATTGTTCATGACCTAAGTCTAGTCTAGGCCCAATGGCCAACAAAATGTAAAATACGGAAAAGACCTCCTCCTGCTTATACTACGGGCTTCTTGCCCACCGCCCCGACACCACTGCTACCTCCTGAAATAAAGTTCCCAAAGTGGGGTGAGATATACGAATATATCTCAGTAACCCAGAGGTTCTGGAGAATACTCCGTCCAATGGCTCACTTCGATGCATATAAATAATATAACATAACATCTGAAAACGGGATAAAGCAAGGGATTAAGTGAAATAGGAGAGCATAGGGATACAAAATACGACGGAGCTGGAATGGTCAATGCCAAAACCACGCAATGTCCAGCCTATTGGCCTCGGCATATAAGCCTACGGGTTTCAAACCAAGGTGTGTTCCCAGAACATCAACCAAGGCACCTTCCATCCATATCCACCCGAGACTTCCTAGTGTGCTCCTATCCGGATCACACACCACGACCCCAGGTCAACTGGAACTCCCTCTCAGAGACCTATCCAGTGGAAGTCCGTCACGCCCGAAGGCAATTGTCTACTGGCCAGAGACACGGTACATCCTATGTACCACCACACATACAATATGCATGAACATGTTATCCTATATTATTTACATACGCTTCCTACCATTACCCTCAACGAGCATGGTGGAACACACAAGTGGATCAAACCCCAGTACCAAGGGATTACCTGAATAATCCTCCTCTACAGCTTCAATGCAATATATTTTCCGAGCTAGGTACACAACAGAAATGCCACAATCCCTTTTGGTCCGGGACCAAGGGCAACCCACTGAGATCACGTTTCAGGGTTCAAATCTGCGTAAGGCAACCTACAATGACCATATACGGATCATCAATATACAGTGAATTCACCAAATTCACAAAACATCAAAATCCTCCCCTACACCATGGTAGGTTCGGCCATTATAGTGTAAAAATACAATTTATTTTTCTTTATTTTCTTTTCATTTTTCTTAAGCATCCTAAGATTACCACAATGTCATTTTAGGTGTCAAATTGCATCCTACATCTTCACAACCTCATTTTGTCATTAATTTCACTCTAGGTCCAATTATCAATTACACATAACCAACCACTTTTTCCTTTGATTTTCAAAGCATCCAACCATCACATAACCCTTCTAATTATCATTTAACAACCCAACATATCAATCATACAATTTCACAACCTCAAATTCCCATTTTTCTCTCTTGGACGAAATTCACATTGGCCTATACCAAGGATCATTCAATTCAATCCAACCACTCCACACATAATACAATCCTATTATTAAACTCATACAACCATACAACAACTCAATTACACAATCCTAAAACCAACTAACATCACAAAGTCATGGCATTTCAACACAAAAGTCCACTAAGTTATCATACAATTCCTCAATAATTTTTATTGCATTTATCACTCCAAGACATCATTCTAAGACATATTCATCTAATACACAATTTCCATTTGAGCTCTCTAACTACATCAATCACACAAAATGCCTTTAGGGTTCATGAAATTAAATCAATTAATCCTACCAATAGAAAGTGATGAAACTTACTCAAAAGCTTGGCCTAGGAGTCCTCCACAACATACTAAACCATTGAGGAACCAAACAACTCCATGAGTGAAAATCTCCATACATAGGTCGCGGGTTTGGGGGGGGGGGGATTTTCTCAAAATCTAGGGAGTTTCATGGCTCAAGACTACCATGGTTGTGTTTGGATGGTGATTTCCAACAAATTTCATGACAAACTTTTCTTGATTTGGTGAGGTATTGATTGAGTTAGAAGAGAAAGAAAGCTTGGACAATTTCTCCCCATATTTCCATGGAGGCCGCAGGTTCATGGTGAGGAAGGAGAGAGAATGGTTCAAATTTTTATGACATGCCATGTGGCCAAGTCCACTTAAGTGAGGTAGGCCCCACCGCCACCTCACGGGACTTCAAACTAATTCGAATTTCTCTCATATTCCGCTAAACGTTCATAATTTCCTAAACTAATTAGAAACTTTAATTTTTAACATTAACCATTGTCCTTTAATTTCCCTTGATCAGATGAATCCGGAGTTTTCCGGTCATTCGGAGAAATTGCAGTTTTAAGCTGTTATGCGCGTCGTGGGCACGCTTCCCCAAATACACTAATTTCCATCAATTTTCATCAGAAATCATATTTCCTAGTTCTATGTACCATTTATAACTTATATCCAAACCTAGAGCTCAAAATTCATTCGGCACGTTTAACAGTGCAATTGTACCGTGATATTTTTACTCGGTAAAAATACTATTCACCAAATTTGTAGAAACTTGCCTAACCACTCAATTTTTCGTTCTGAATCCATTTCCAGGATTAGTTTTCTCATTTGAGATCTCCTACTCAATTTTACCTTCCTAGGGTTACGTGTTTGGCTAATTACCATTTTATTCTTCCTTTGTATTTTGGCCTTAATTTCAGGATTTTCACTAATCCTACCCTTTAATCCTTATTTTCATATATAATTATACGTTTTAGAAATACGAGGTGTTATAATTTTCTATATTTGGCTTTGTAAATTTGATGAATTTACTTATATTAGATGGGAGAATGATCTTGAATCAAGTTTATAGAAATTAAAGAATATCTTTGGTACTAAATGAATACTAATGAAATACGTAATCTTTTACTGAATGATTCTGAATCAACTGACCCACAAGGGGATCAGAATGGTTATAGGGTAAGGGACGCCTTATCATGGTTTGAGCTCCGCTATACAGAACCTTTCACATACAGAACCCACAAAATTTGGGCGCTCATAGAATTGAGCATTAGTCATTTCAGTTAAAGATTACACGTTCTTATATATGTTTATATCTAGAACCCACAAAGTTTGGGTAGATCCCACAAAGATTTGGGTATAGCTGAATGAAGAACCCACAAAGATCTGGGCTTATATTTAATGTTTATGATATTATTTTCTTATTATAAATTTATTATGTGAGAATGATATTTTTCACTAAAGTGGCTGGATTGGTTATAGTTCGAAAACCCCAAGATTACTGAGATTTATCTCACGTGTGTTTGTTTTTATGTTAATCTTTCTAGAGTAATCAAGTCAGTATGTGTAGCTTTGGAGTAAGATAAAGCATTATGGCTAAAGACTTTGAAGACTATACGGAGCTCAGTGGAGCAATAAAAAATATTTCTTTTCAGTTTATATTATGATGTATTTCTTCTTTTTTTTGGGTACATTATTATGATGTATTTCTGATGTAATAGTGAACTTGACTTTTGTATAATTAAATTTTAAGCATATTTTATCATATGTCTTATTTTATATTTTTCACATTAGAATTTCACTTAAGAATTAATGTGATATCTTCTATGTTAGTCAGTTGTAGAGGATGTTACAAAATTATTATAATAATTTTGTTAGAACATATCCAATTGGAGGATGGTTATAGTTACAACCAAAACATTTTACAACTTTTTTACAACCTTTTTTCTCACCGTTAGATTAGCTCTTGATCGATGGTTTACAATTTTTCCTTCGCTCTCCTCAGTTTGTCCATCTCTTGCCATTGTTCTTCCTTGGGTCTCACCAGAAGAAGAAAAAAACCACCGATTGGAAGAGGAAGACACTCCATTAATCATCCAATCAAAACCTAACAGAGGAAGAGATATCAGTTTCTCACATTTTATTTCGTTTTCAAAAACCCTAATCAATCTTTGTTCTTGTTCTCAGGTGATTCTCTTATTCGATGACTTCATCATCCATTCTCATTTCTTTTTTCTTTTTCTTTTTTCTTTTGTATTTTATTTTCTAAATCTCCAAAATTAAAGATAATTTAGATGTTTTCCCCTTGTTTTCGTTGATCGCTCCATATATTGTTATGATTGTGTTGGGTTGGGTGACCACTGAACTGAGGGCAAAAAGAAAAAGAGAGCATGGAGGTGAGTCAGATGCAGAGACAGTGGTTGGATTACATCAAATCCTTATTCATGGAGGTAAAAGCAAACAAACAGTATTTGCAATATATTTACGTTTATGGGGTAGGGTTTCTTTTGTTTGTAGTTAGATTTTTGGGGTATTTTCAGTTGTTGATTTTGTGGATCTTGATTTTCTTACTATGAGAAAAGGGCTTCCTGGATGGTCAATTTCTACAACTTCAACAGCTACAAGATGAGAACAACCCAGAATTTGTGTTTGAAGTGGCGTCTCTCTTCTTTGAAGATTCTGTGAGGCTTCTCAATGATCTTACCTTTGCTCTGTGAGTTTGCAATGCTCTCATCCCTCCCCTTCTCTTTCATCATTTAGAATGTTGTTTACTGGGCAAGGTTTAGTGGTAATTAGTGGCTTTGGAAAATTCTTGGGATTTTTCTTGTGCAGAGATCAGAAAAGTATTGACTTCAAAAAAGTTGATGCTCATGTTCACCAGTTGAAGGGTAGCAGCTCTAGGTATGCCTTTTCATTTATCCCAACCAAAAATGTAAAAAAACCCTCAGAATTGGAACAAAATGGAACTAGACTAGTTGTGTACTTGTTGGTTCCTAAAGAACTCGAGTTACATATCATAAAACTCAACAAACCAATCAAGTTTGGATATTGACCTTAATTAGGAGAAACCAAAAGGCCAGTACCAATTCGTTTTCAGTTAGAATATGGTTATCTTTCCTTGATTTGCTGAGATAATTTTATGTCTGGTCCACAGCATAGGCGCACAAAGGGTAAAAAATTCTTGCATTGCTTTTCGCAACTTCTGTGAGGAACAGAACATAGACGCGTAAGTTATTTATCTTTTCACAACTTTTATTTTGAAACTTTTAGACTATTGAAGAGTAGAGAGTACTGAAGTTCGAATAACAAAGCCATTTGGGCATAGCTATACTGCTGGTAGAAAAGGAATGGAGGTATTTTTCATACTCTGGCCATTGAAAAATTTATAATTGCTGCAGGTGCCTTAGATGCCAGCAACAAGTTAAGCAAGAGTACTGCCATGTCAAGAGAACGGAAACATCTTTACTCACTGCCGTACTGTCAACATCGCTTGCCACACTTATATGCTATCCTCTAGGCACAATGTGTAGACAGATGCAATTAAAGGGTACACCCTATAAGACAGTATTAGATGCCATTTCAGGTGAGGATTGCTCGTGTATACTTTTTAGCATCAAAATTTTGTAGCTACTGGCATGTTAATATTTGTCCACACATTAGTAAGAAATATATAAAATTGATTCACTTTATTGGAGCATGTATCTCGGGCTGTAACTTTTTAGTACACAAGTTTGTGCTAGGTACGCTGTAATGCTATATTCTTTTGCTGAATGTATTTTAGCTGTAATTGTTGTAGGGATTTTGTGTTTGCCAAACTGAATGGCAATAAAAAAATGTTTGTGCTATTGACACCTACCAAATGCACATATGACAACCTTTTGCTCCTGCATACATGTTAATGTTACTATTTGAATACATTAAGATAGGTTGTGTACTCGTTAGATTATAAATGTATTTGAGCGATAAAGACTAGGTCTAAACAACTCTTACTCTTCCTTACGCTGACTATTAATAAGGGAAGCCTTAGAGTTGCAATATATGCAAAAGTTAATGGAGTGCAGGGGGCATCTAGCCATATATAAATATAACCTAATGGTTCTTCCCATCAAAACTCTCGTATGTTAAGGCCTACACAAATTTTATTAAACCGCACTAACTAGGTGTCTTAAACTCCTTACAAATAGATCACTAAATTAGTGGGTTTTAAAACAATTTGAAATGGATCATAACATTGGTTTCATTTATCTCTAAGCATACACAACTATGATCAATAAAGCTAATTATGGTTATGTATTTTTCTTTCATGTAGATTGATTTCATGTGCTTAATCAATATGAATTTAGATATAAAGCTTGGAATATTAGTGAAATTCACTTAATTACTATAATTAATTTATTTATTAACAGGGAAATGAGCAAACTGAATTGGAGTTATCCAGCAGTAATGGAAGGTTCAATGTTCAAATGAATTTGCAGATACTTTTGTACACTGGGTGACTTATGGACAAACACTTTGCCATTGAACTTCTGCAGTAACATATAATTGAGATTTTTTTAGCTGACTTGGCTTTGGTCAGAAGATGCTTATTAGAAGAGACTACAGAGAGCTTGTAAAAGGAAAGAATCAAGCATTTAGGATGGCTTCTCTTTATGATGCTAATCTAAGAAGAATCTTGGTAGTGACAAGCAACATTAATGTCAATCAAATCCTGAAAGCATAGTGTGGTTGTAAAATTCTTCGTCTTTCTTATCTCTTTTTTTTTGGGGTCATATTAATGCCAGAATTCACATACTGATTCTATGTAATATTACTGTAATTTACACTTTTGTAAATATTGTTACCTTCCATTTGGGAGCTCAATTTTTAGAGTTGTATACAATTGATTCTTTTTAAGTGAATTTTTATGAATCAATAAAGAGTTGCCAGCTATGCGATTATGACTCAGGTTACTTCAATCTATTTATACGAACAACTAGGCTATTCATCATGAAACTTTGAGTTAAAACTTTTTACAAATCACATGGTACGATCATGTTAGTAACAAAAGGACCGTTTGAAACTTTGTTTGTAGTAAGTGCCATCTTAGAACATTAAGTAAAGAATGAGATAGGCTTGGCTTTCATTGCACTTGAAATATCTCAACTTTGTAGAGGTAAAACAACAACAAAAGAACGAAGACATAGAATCAATGTATATTCAAATATCTGATATCTTAAACCAAAAAAAAAATAGAATTTAAAAATAATAAATACTTAATATCTAAATTGGAACCAAAAGAAGAATGACTTTAAATTAATCAATAAACACGTAACATAATTGAAACTAAAATGAATCTAGATTTATTTCTTTACAAGTGCATTTATTATGTCCTCTCTTCTTACAATTGCCACAAATATTAGTATGCTTTAATGCTTCTACAATCCCGCTACGAATCCTGCGTCCCTGTGAAGTGCTTTGTGAGTCCCTTTTCCGCCCTTTCGTTTGCGAAATATTTGGATCCCTCAAGTTCATTGAAAAAGGCTCTTCGTGATGAGAACCCAACAACTGTAAATTAGAGTCCTCAAGAGCACTACTCTCTTCAGATGCTGGAACTTGTTCTACAATTTTACATAGAGAATCAATACCATCACAAATTAATTTAAATGCTTCATCTGACTTATATGCAAGGTCATCAAGTTTGGAATATCTAGAGCGTAAATGAAAGCTGCGAAGAAGTCTATCTCCATCTGAGGTACATTTATCCCTCTCTAGGCTTGGTATGACATATCCTTCCTTGCTGCAACGCTGCAAAATGAAGTGTTCAGGAATCTGCTCAACATTTTCAATAAAAAAAATTGCAAGAACATGTCGACATAGGATTCCCATGAACTCAAAATAATGGCAAGAACACCTAGCTTCTTTGTTTTCCAATTTCATCTCAACTGTTGTAAAATCTTCTATGTCTTTCTTATTAAAAACTCGGTAAATAACCCACTCACAATCATTTCCAAGTTTCTCCTTAGAAAATCGTAGACTAAGAGAAAGTTGATGGCAAAACTTTAAAAAAATTGCACGGGTATACACTTTAGCAGCATGCTCCTCCAATGGCATATTAAATGTCAAAAACCTATCTTTGTGCTTAGATTCAAAGTCTTCTTTTTTGAATGACTCATAGCGAGCATCTATTGCTTGATTATATTTCTCCACAAATTCCTTTAAAGTTGTGCCAGATGTAACAAAACCATCAAAGAATGAATTTATACTTTCGCTACGTTGAGTAGTGTTCATACCAGCAAAGAAAGTGGAACAGTTAAATATTGGTACCCAAGAAGATCTAATTGTGTAAAGTACTTTTAACCACTCATTTTCAGTAAGACCATACTGAAGAAGAAGACTCTGCCATCTATCTTCAAACTCTTGAGTGCTCTTGGTGCTCCAAATACAGTTATTAAGATGCCTCTTGAATGACGCATGCTCATGGTAGAGATGGGACAACTTCTCTGGAAATTTTCTCATAATATGCCACAAACAAAATCGGTGTTTGGTGTTTGGAAAAAATTTGTTGACTGCATTGCTAATCGCCAAGTCCTTTAAGACAAAATAACATGAGTAAGTACGCAGTCACTAATAAATAGCCATATTCGAGATGATATTCAAAACATTACAATAAAATACAATAAATTGATCATACCTGGTCAGTATTATGGCAACTGGATGTTTCCCATTCATTGCTCGAAGCCATTCCTCAAAAAGCCATACAAAAGTATCTTCAGTTTCATCTTGTAATAAAGCACATCCGAATAAGAGGGACTGCAAATGATTATTTACACCGACAAATGGTCCAAATGGCATAGAATACTTATTAGTCCTATATGTTGTGTCAAACGTGATGACATCCCCAAAAAAAACTTACCATCCGATCATCATCATCACACTTTATACAATAAATGAAATCTGGATTCAATGATTGTTGCTTAATACAATAAAGTAGAACAGATTGTGCATCCCCAACGTCATATATTCTTTTTCTCACATTTTTCATATGATTATAACAATCTCGACTATCAAACCCTAAATCATGGCTTTTGAAGATAATGGCCACCTTTCCAGTAGGCAAACCCGCCTCATTGAATTTTTCTAGCAAACATTTTGCAGCATCGGGACATTTGTCTATGTGATGTCAAATATGAAACACTTTTCGGAGTAACCATCTCATGGTTATGGTTGTCGTCAAAATATGTAATTCTCCACATATTTGTCTTTTTACTTTTGAAAGCCTTGAGACAAGCTTGACACCCTATACGTGATGTTGATGTCCGTCTTGATTTGGTGTCACATGTTTTTTTTTCATGTGGATGTCCCTCTCTAACACATGTTAGAATCACATAGTTATTCTTGGATGTTCGTCCCCGAATTCCGAAACCTTTTGCCCTACCTAATGTTGTATACAATTCTACTATATCATTCCGTTCAGGAAATGTCATTCCAACCTCAATCAAAACATCATTATTCTTTGTCGATGATAACAGAATTGCATTCGACATATTATTAGGTAAGTCTTCTTCTATTTCATCAAGTATGTCGTCTCCCATTTCATCATGTTCCATTTCATTCGACAAACCATCGTCACTGAAGTCAATATAATCTAATGGATCGACATCCATATTAACCTTCACCAAAGTAAACGAATGAACTATATTAATTAAGAACTATTGAATTTCTTTATAGCAGAAATTTTCAATTAAGCATGAATAATAAATCAAAATCAATGTTGTCAAGAGCATGTAGCCATGACGTACTAAAAAATCCAACCATTAAAAAACTAACTGAGAAGTAAATCTTGAAAAGCACTGCCATGAGTTAATGAATCACTTACAAAAGTTGATGTCATGCCAGCAAAAGCACCTGCTACAAGTCTTCCCACAACAGAGAGCTAACCATTCTTTCCTTCTAATATTTTTTGTAAACCCAAAAATATAACTTAGACCTGAACATGCAATGTTTGGTATTAGAAATTCTTGACAGTATCAGCTAATACATAATAATGCTAATTGCAAGTAATATTCAAAAGTTGACATTGGGAAAATAACAGCCAGCTAATGGCAGCAATAAAAATGTCATTTTTCTTGTTTCTTATAGTTGACTATCGTAAGCATTTAATTTGGTGGTATTGTACGACATGGGAACTTCATCAGGAACAAACCTCACGAGCAACAAGAGCGTGGACATCAAGGATTAAAGGTGTAGCCACTAGCTAGTTAGTGATACTTGCTCAAGTAATTTGTATCTCACTCTTTTGATTTTAAATTGAAAAACATTGCAAGCAGAAATTTATACAAAAAGAAAACAAACAGAATTTCTTATGAGGAAAATGGGGACAAGACTAACTTTGCTCTGGCTAATGCAAATTATAAAGTCAGTAATAAATTAAATTATCATAATTAACGAATGTATAATGAGATCCATGCACTCTTGGCTTAAAAAGAAAAAGAAATTTTTTTCAGCAAAAAGGTAGTAGACTAATGGCCCTTTTCAACTACCAAGTGATAATATGTTTCATATGAGAAATTCACTGACAAATCAGTACAAATGAAATTGTCGATGTTTTAGCAGCGAATTTCATTGGCAAATCAGTAAACATGAAGTTTTCGATTTTGCTTTTTGCCCTCTGTTCAGTGGTCACCCAACCCAACACACTCACAGCAATATATGGAGCGATCAACGAAAACAAGGGGAAAACATCTAAATTATCTTTAATTTTGGAGATTTAGAAAATAAAATACAAAAGAAAAAAGAAAAAGAAAAAAGAAATGAGAATGGATGATAAAGTCATCGAATAAGAGAATCACCTGAGAACAAGAACAAGGATTGATTAGGGTTTTTGAAAACGAAATAAAATGTGAGAAGCTGATATCTTTTCCTCTGTTAGGTTTTGATTGGATGATTAATGGAGTGTCTTCCTCTTCCAATCGGTGGTTTTTTCTTCTTCTGGTGAGACCCAAGGAAGAACGATGGGAGGACATGGACAAACTGAGGAGAGAGAAGAAAAAATTGTAAACCGTCGATCAAGATCTAATCTAACGGTGAGAAAAAAGGTTGTAAAATATTTTGGTTGTAAATATAACCATCCTCATCTAATTAAGTAGATTTTTCCTTACAACAAAAATAACAAAATATTGCTTTTATGGTTGGGCAACAAAATCATGGTTTTGATGCAAAATTAATTTGCTCTTGTATGAATCATGCATAGTTATAACTGTAACTTAATTATAATGATTTTTTTTTTTTGAAAAAAAAACCTATTGTGTAATAAGTCATTTTGGAATGACGTCTACGTATGTAATTTGGATTTGTATCACTAGGATTATTAATATTTTTATTCTACTCTAGTTTGGATGTTACTTAATTAATTGAATGAATTGTATGTGTTTATTTTTTTGGCTACTTATTAATTTGGATAGCTATTGTTATTCGGCTTCGCCTATAATTTAGTTCGTTCTTGAAACTAAACTATTTTTTTTTTATAGCCAAATGTAAAATCGCCGTTGCCGGGATCGAACCCAGGTCGTAAAAAAACTAAACTATTTAACTATCATGTTGTGATATTTGAATATATACTTTTGAGTCAGTAACAATCAATTCAGAACTATATAGTGATATTTGAATTCTATGTATGCTGAACATTTTCTATTATTCTTAATATGAGAAATGTTAGGCATTTTGACTATTGTGTCTCTCATTAAATAAAAAATAATCAAATTGTTTCTCATCCAAAACATTCTACTATTCTGTCCTTATTTAATTGATTATAATACATACGTAATTGATTAAAAAACAATTGATCATTGATCCCGTGGTATATATAATCGATTACATCACGTTGTAATTACATAATGCTTAGACATTTTCTCTTTCATCTATAGCTACTATATTATAAGAATTTTATAATTCTTAATTTATATTAAAATTGAAATCTTATGTTGCAGAGACAAAAATTATATGAAACCCATATGTTAAAAAATTATATGTAAGATCTAACTTAGCACGAAAATCAAAAGTATGTAAAAAGATTTCAATTATCATATTTTATGAGAACTATAAAACAGATATTATAATAGGGTTATGCGAGTATCACGTTATACATATCACATTAATTATACTGTAGCAGTAGATGTTCACTTAAGAGGGACGATTTAAATTATGTTTGTCTTTAACTAATAGGTAGTTCTACGGGAAAACAAGGAGCTGATACCTGACAGTGGTCCCTGAATTAGAAAACGAAGCCATTGTTGATTGTCGATTTTTTATTTTGTATTTTTTAATTCTGCTACCTACCTACTTTTACCAAAACACACAACACTCAATTCGACGACCGCGAGAAAATATTAGCATTTTATGTAAAATTAAATATGAGTTCTATTAATCTCATGTTAAAGGAGATAATTATCTCATGTTATAGAGATAAATTTATGGACTTTACCACCTGAAAAAAAAAGTGATACAATTATCGAATAGTGTGTAGAAGGAAAAACTTATCTCATGTAACATGAGAATAGTTTTTCCCATTAAATATATGTTTACAATACAAAAAATGTGCATATTAAGTGGAACACCTTTAAATTAACATATTATTTGCATTGTATCTACTCGTAAAATATTTGATATGAATCTTTCGTATGAATGTCAAACTTAAGAACTTACATCATGCTCTCATGCTGAGTCTTTGGCAAATCCAGGAGATAAATTTCTCTCTATCAGTTGCCACGTTACCATACCAATTAGGGGTGTAAATGGGTTGGGCTGGGCTTTGATCTTCCTGACTTAAGCCTACGTAAAAAAATATTCAGCCTATCTAGCCTACTGAAAGCTTTATTTATAAGTCAAGTCTGGCCTATTTTTAAAAATTAGAGAACCTGATATGGCCTACAGGCCTTGTAGGCCTCCCTCGTGATATATTTTTAACAAATTTTAAATTATTTTTTAACAATTTTTAAAATATTCGCTTGACATTACAAGTCATTAACGTGTTCATAAATTGTTGCATTTTTTTACACGAAATATAAATTTCACTAGTGAGCATTAAAAATTTTACAATAGTAAAAAAAATAACTAAAAAAATATATTGAGCAAAGTTTCATTCATGTATGTACTAGTACTTCTCATAAGAAATAAAAAATGACAAACAATAAATAGTCAACATAATACCCCAACTCTATATTGTATATCAGAGAGGAATAGAGTCAAAAAAAATGGAGAAAATAAAAAAATACAATTACTAGGTCAACCAAAACTGAAAAAAAGTCTACAAAAGAATATCATTCATTGAAATATCTTTAAACCACCATCAAGACAAGGGTTGGTATTAATAGCCACCTAAAATAAATATTATTTTATTTTATTTTTAAAAATTAAATAGGCCAGCCTACAAGGCTTTAGGCTAGGCTTGACAAAATTGACCTACGGCCTATTTGTTAGAAAGACTTTCTTATAAGCCTAAGCCTACTCTACTTTTCAACGTAGGTCGGGCTAGGCCAGGCTCAACGTAGGCCTGGCCAGGCCATCCTGGCCCATTTACACCCCTAATACCAACTCAGTAGTTAAAGGTATTGTTGTCAAAGACTAGCTAGTATAAAAACGTAAAAACTTACGTTTTTACGTTTTTACTAATGTGATACGTGTTAAAACGTAAGTAAAAACTTTTCTAAGTAAAAACTGGTAAAAACTACGTGTAAAAACATAAAAATGGTAGAAACACAAGTTTTTATGTTTTTACTTAAACGAAAAAACCGAACCAGGTCAACTTTTAACCCATGACCTGATTTTATTTTTTTAAAATAAATAAAATAAAAAACCCTATTTCCATTTCCCCCAAATAAAAAACCCTCACGCGAGGCCGCTGTGTTTCCATTTAAGAGTTGTTAAGTTTTATTCTTTTGATTTTGTGTAACTTGGTTATATTAATTGTTAAACTCTTTTTGTGTTTTTGGACTTATGCCTTATATAATTACGTGACTTATATATCTTAAATATGAAGTTGTTCCTTGAATTTTGAGTAGTGACTTATGTGATATTTTTTTGACATGCATATATATATATATATATATATATATATATATATATATATATATATATATATAAATTTTTATCTTGACCTTAAGTAGTAAAATTTTTACATTTCGTGTCGTTTCTATGATTTACGTTTCTATCATTCCTTTTCGTTTCTACATAGAAACTCGATTTTGACAACATTGGTTAAAGGTTTGAGTTATATATGTTTACCGAAAAAAAAAAGGTTTGAGTTATTATTGGAAGAAGAATACTTAACTTCTGATCTGGATAAATTATGATACACCCACTAAGGGTTAAAGCCCAGAATAGGCCCAAGTACATACAGGGCCCATAATATGTGCAATGACGCCATCGCACGTAAGGGCCCGAAGGCGCAATGGTCTCATTGAGCCTAACCGCCTTATATGACTTAAAAGCTAAGGAAGGATCCTATAAACAAACAAAGATCTATCGCGCTATAAGCCAATACACGAAAGACAGCTCTAGCTTGCCACCACTCTAAGAAGGCAATCCAACGTATAGGTGTATAGCCAGAAAGGCACCAGCTGAGAACAGATAAATCTGCAGCCCGTGAGCAACCAATCAGAAGGCACAC